TTTTATTGTTAAGTCATTCATACTTACTAATTTCTATAAGAAATTCTAAAAATCTAGTATCGTCTTAGCTCCGTAGCGCTAGTGGAACTTATAATCAATCAATGGCTCTATCGTAAGCTTTGTGGTTACAGATCTGCCTCATACTCAGTAGCCCGCAGCGCTCAGGCTTCATGCTTTGTCTCAACAACAGATCATAGCAGTCTTGCTCGCTTTTTAACCGTTATTGCGACTTTCTCATTTTGCTAGCCATCAAACAACCTTTCACAAGATATTCACACAATCCATCAAACCTGTCTTACTGCCCAGACTTGAGAGAATATTTAAAGGTCGGCGCTTGCCATTTTGCCAACATCAAATCAACCGATACTGTAACAATACTGCACAGCTTTCAATCGAAAACGGTCCTTTGAAAATCAGATTAACTCCAAAGGTAGGTTCCTATACACTCTCAGCATACAAATCTTGTTCTTCTTCCTGTAGATAGATACAGCCAGGTTCCGTTCCGTTGAAGAAATCTGACAATCATGCAAAGCTATTCTCGTAATAAACAAAACAAATATCAACTCGATCACCATCTTCACACCTCCACCTCCACCTACAACGATACACTCCCGAGAACTCCTTCCAAAGATCAGAAAATGGCAGCACCAGGAACACAATCACTAAAGGTCAGATTCATTATGTGCCTTGGAAACATCGATCTTTCAATAAGTGAGGAAGGTAACTGACGCTGTTTTTAAATAGTGTGTTGTAACAGGAGATGGAGCTGTTGGCAAGGTAATTCTCCAGTTTACTCATTCTCTCAATTCAATTGCTCACATCTTTTTACAGACATGTCTTTTGATTTCCTACACTACCAATGCATTTCCCGGCGAATATATTCCCACTGTGTGAGTATGGATGGATGTTTGATTCCACTAGGTTGTTTACTAACATAACCAGATTTGACAATTATTCCGCCAGTGTGATGGTTGATGGAAAGCCGATAAGCCTGGGTTTGTGGGATACTGCTGGACAGGAGGATTATGACAGACTTCGCCCCCTTTCGTATCCTCAAACAGACGTGTTTTTGATCTGTTTCTCAATTGTCAGCCCTCCATCTTTCGACAATGTCAGAGCAAAGGTATGTGTGATAAATTCCCAGATCTTCTGAATATTTGCGACCATGTTCCACTGGCTCACTCAATTAAACAAAGTGGTTCCCCGAAATATCACATCATGCACCTGGTGTTCCTATTATCCTTGTTGGAACAAAGTTGGATCTTCGAGATGATGAGCCTACGAAAGAATCTCTCAGGGCCAAACGAATGGAGCCAGTAACCTATGACCAGGCAAGAGGTGTAGCCAAAGAGATCCGGGCACATAAATACTTGGAATGCTCTGCCCTAACACAGAGAAATTTGAAGAGTGTATTTGATGAGGCAATTCGGTTAGACATCCCCTCTGTTGCAAGATATGACAATGATGAACTAACCAAAACAAGTGCTGTCCTAAGTCCACAACAACAAGCACCGAAGCCAAAGAAGTCCAAGTGTACAGTGCTATGAAGTAAGAATGAACAGAGTCAACGACAGGTGATGGATGACCTATAGAAACATTATCGAGTTCAGACTACAGGTTGTAGCATTCCATAAATCAAATGGTTGAAAGTTGTCCAACTTCTCCATCCTAACTGAAGATGGAGGATTTGGGGAGTCAGGTGGGGGAATACGAAATCGGTTCTAATATTAAGCTTTTTCTGTTTATCGACATTTTCAATTCTATGCTGTAGAATTTGGCATTATATGGATGCAGCATGCGTCCCCTGAAGATACCGAAGATACCTCTTTTCCTGTACATAGGTCACGATAAATGCATGGAGTAATAAATAAAGAAATAAATATGTATCTGTTTGTAATTTTCATTTGCTACTTTAGATGGTTCTAATGGATTGATCCTCCAATTTATGTGCCATTACAAACGGGTATCATAAATCATCCACCGATTCTTGCTTTCCTACTTGGATGTATTCCACTATCCTCCGCCAACACATGTTGTACTTCGACTGCTTTATTCTTGCCGACTTTGGGATTGTCAACTTTGGAATTGTCGGCCTGCCATTATTGTTAGCATGATATGGTCAAGTAAATTTCTCGCCTGGGGTCTCTGCCCATCCAGCAATATGAATAAAAGAAATCAGGAGTTCATACTTCTTGTGCTTGTCTTACACGTTGTTCATTCAGTTTCTCATTTTTCCCTTTAATTTTGGAGCGGCGGTCTTTCGTATTACCACCACCTCCAGCACTTTATAGAAATTAGATGTAACAACAAAAATAGGAGGATGGAGGTCACTTACGTTAACTCAACATTGACTTTTCTTGGTGCTGAGATACCATCGTTGAACGTGGACTGGTGGAATTGCTTGAGACAAGTTTTCATACGATCATAACCTTCAAACTCAAGGAAGGCACAGCCTCTTGATTTGGTAGGATTGTCCTTTTCTGTAAGATGGCGAACTGAGGCAGGTTTAACAGCTGCAAAATGATTTTTGATTGTTGCTGTTGTAGCAGTGAATGGCAGATTTCCTAATAACTTATATGAGCCCAATGTTGTAAAATTCTTTACAGTAGAAAGCATCTCACCAATAAACACAATGAACCTTGAGGCCTTGCTTTCTGCATTTGTCCCAGGAACACCCGCTTGCTTTTTACTCTTAACACGCTTTTTCTCGGTAGTAGTTGGATCAGAGCGTCCAGTGGAATTGGAATCCCGGTCATTTTGTTTCGCAGCAGTTTTTGCCTCTTGGTTCGTGTCTGCAGCAGCCTCCCTAGCTTTCCTCTCCGCTTTCCTCTCTTTCTTCGACTTCTTAAGAGAAACTTCTGCCTCTTTTATATCGGATGGCTCTCCAATCTGTAAAGGCAGTGAAGATGTATCGGCTGAAGCGGTTTTGGTTTTCTTAGACTTGTGGCTGGATTCTTTATTCGTCTTTGCGATCTCTTGGTCAACATCCCTAGGGGTAGCTTGGCCGTCGTTTTCATTATCGTCTAAGGCTCTCTTTCTTTTCGTCGAAAGAGCGTTGTCATCATTAGACTCTGTTTCGAGGTCGTCAGGTATATCAGGGATTGAATTTTCGAGCTTGCGCCTCTTGGCTTTTCTATCGGCGCGAGAAGCTCCTGCACCAAACCCCATATTAAGATTGAGTGAACGACCGAATTATTGATGTGCGCGTTGGTTACAGAGGCTTTGTTGCTGGTTACAACGATTCAAATATCGAAAGTATTAGATGTCGGCCAAACAATTTTTGAATAGATTTGGTAATTCCTTGTCGCGTGAAATATCCTGCCGATAGCGGTGAAAAATTATTGGGACTACACAACTAGCCTAAGTTAGCTCGTCACATGCATGTTATTGGACTAGGGGCAGCTGAGTACATATATCGAATATAGATCTAATCAAAATCTTATATTCAATTGAATATTTTATATCTATTTGGTGGGGTTCTAAAAGAGAGATATACACAAATTAGAATAAGTATTACTAGCTTAGTTCTTTATAAAAATTTATAAAATTTAATATAATAAATACTTTAATACTCTATAAATTGAATTAATTCTAATTATATCAAATCTTAATTAGAGACATAGTCTCTAAATATTCTTGCTATATATAAATATTAATATAATAAACTGAAAAAATATTATTTAT